GGTAATACAGCTGACCTGCAGGGGTGGCGATAGTTGCTGTGCAGACAACTTTACACACTACATCTAGACCTTTAACAAACAGGCCCAAAAAAGAAGGAAAAACAAAAAAGTTACACAATAGCTGATATTTACACAACAAAAACAACCACAATGGTTCATTTCAGAGATAATATCCGACTCTTTCTGGCCAATTCTTCCTCAATCAAACACATCGTGCACTGAATGCCACCAGGAATTGACAAACAAGTCTGAAGGACACACGCACGCACACACACATAATCTCTGGCTCAGACACATCTAATAAAGAGAGTGCGAGGTCTGTTCGCAATTGTAATTGCAACATAATCATAAATCTGTGTACTAATGGAGCTTTTCTTCCTCCTTGGTTTTATGTGTGGGACTGAACACTTGTAAAGCAGAGTAGATTGGAGCAGCATAGCGGGAAGGTGCAGGGGAAGTCTGGTGTGTAGATAAGAAAGAAGCATGAGGACGGGCAGAGGGCAGAAACACTGGCCGAGGTCAAACGAGGTGAAACTGATCAGAGGAGAATCCCAAATAGAGACATGCAGCGATTTGACAGCGGGGCGGGGACAGGAGGAAGATCCCAAATCATCCTTTTGGCTTGAAAGTTGGAACACAAACCCTAATTAAACAATTAATCCCTGCTCAGTTATTTACTCTAAATGTGTTCATTCTAATGTGAGCCTGGGAAATTCAATCAGCTCCTTTTATCCAGACCTTTAAACCCTTGCGTGTGCTGGTGTGTGAGAAATGTATTGTTTATTGTGCAGACAGGATACGCTGTTTTCCCGGGAAAAACGTAACCAGGAAGCGCAACACTTCGCAGGAGACACACAGCAGACAGCGTGCAGACTTTAGTAACACCAACATCACGCCTGCGGGAAGTTAAAACCTTTGGCCCGATTCACTATCTAGCTCAGTCAATAAAACAAGCCCTCCTGTTCTGACTCTGCAAGAACAAGTGAGCTGGAAGGAAAAGAAGAACCTTATCAATGTGATCACTGAGGTAAAATTTTATTATGATTGCAGACTGTAAAGATGGGAATCATCAACACACTTGAGTGGTCACTGAACCCAAAAGAGGTGATTACCATCTGCCTGACGAGGCAGCATTTTTTTTCCAGATTGAATGCACCAGACAGATTACAAAGCCAGATTAAGAGTGGTGAGAGGGGAGGGGGGCGGACACTTTGAGAGAAATATGGAGACCAACTAAAGGGAAGGGGGAGGGGAAGGGTATTCCAGGGGGTTAAAGCTGGATTAGGATTTGAAAAGTGAAGTGTTCTGGATGTATATGAGAAAAGAATAAAAATAAATAAATAGATTTTTATTCATTTAAATTGGAAACTGCAAGCATCTCATATCTATTGCCCCCACCAAATCACGCCAGTGGACTAGCCAGTCTTATGTTTCATCTCTCAAACATGGATGCACCCACACAGACACTTTTACTTACTCCTACACATACACTTCTGTGTTTTCTCCTTCTCATTTCTCTCCTTTAATAACTTGAGCTCTCAGACAGGCTCCACCATTTCCACTGTTAAGCAAGACGTTCAAGATGGGCACGTTAAAAGGCCAAAAGGAGAGCGAAAACAGTTTTGCTGGGAAGAGTGGAGTGGCCTTTCTTAAGGAAGTAGAAGAAGGAAGCTTTAAAGGTAAAGTGCAAAGTGTGTGTATGTGTGAGTGGGGGGGGGGGGGGGGGGGGGGTTCTTTTTCCCTGAAGGAAAGGGCAAAGTGCCTTGTGACGGCTCGCTGTGGGTGCCAAGAATGATTTAAAAAATAAAAAAAATTCCACACCTCTTACCATGCTTCCCTCCTTCTCCCCTTCTCTGAGAACCAGAGCTGGAGGTGAGGAAATAATAGACTGAAAAGGGACAGCTTGTAAAGTTGAGATAAAAGCTGGTGAAGGAGTGAAGGGGACCGAAAAGACAGGAGAGGGAAGAAAGAGAGTTTCCCAGAGGCAGAGCCACGGCTGTGTGAAGAGGGGCTGGCCTGAGTGGCAGCCAGTATTCAGGGACCACCGACGTGACAGAATGACTGACAGATTGATAGAGGCCGTGCCACTTCATCACATAGCGAACTCTGACCCTCGATCAGTCACACCAGTTACTATTCTCTTTCTGTGGCCCACCGTGAAGAGCAAGCCCCAATTTGTATGGGGAGCATCACAAAAAAGCCACATTGACCGGATAAAAACCGAGAAAATGCTTCATGCGGGTGAAACATACCTTAAATAACTTTCGTGTGAGCCAGCAGGAAGCAAGCTCATTTTAACGAAGGAACGGTGAGCTGAAACTACTTGGAAACGCAGCTAACCCAATGTCAAACAGCTGTTCTGAAAATCACTTCAGAATTATAAGAGATTAGTTAAAAGACTTCTTTGAGATCAAACGTGTGTGTGTGTGTGAGCGTGCCATGAAACGGTTAACAGATTCACAGAGCCCACAGAACCAGGCTGCAGAGGGAACCTGGCCAAGAAGAGGGGGAGGGAGGTGCCAGAGAGAGGGAGAGACAGGTACAAAGCAGAGGAGGAGGTGGGGGTGGTGGAGGTGGTGGTCCTCTCATGCTCTGTCAACAGGGAAAAGGGAAAAGGAAGTAAGAAGCACTGAAAGAGCAGATTATTGCCTCACATCGAAGTTGTAGAGTCCAGGGGGCTCCTGGGCCGATGTCAACATCAATCCCAAATGTGTAGCACGCGTGTGTGTGTGTGTGTGAGCCTGGGTTAATGTGTATGAGAGCGTGTGAGTCACTTGAATCTGGCGATGCTGTGTATGTGAGTAAGCTTATGCACAGACACTCCCTTTACAAAAAACACACGCTGGCATGCCGGGACCAAAGCTGAACGCTGGTGAGCCTCTTTCTGGCAGTCAAACCTGGCTGGTGATTAAACTGTTGCTAATCAGAAACAAAGGTCGCAAATATGCCAGCAAGCAAAAAGGTCACGAACACAAACACACACAGTAGGAGATTTTGTTGTGCTGAAACATAAAAAGTAGTCCTTAGGTACAGGCAGATATGACCTTGGAAGTCTTTGAAGTCAGCAGGCCCCAAGCTGTGCACACAAACATGTTAGGAAGGGAAACTACAAGCGTGTGTGTGTGTGTCTATTGCTAAATGCCTTAACACACCCACATGGGAAAAAAAGGAAATGAGTATATACCACATGGACTAAAGCGATCACTCTCAGATCAATTTGATTAACGATGGCTCTCTGACCAATTGGATGGAACAATTAACCCGGACCAACAAAAAGAAAACACGCTATCAAGTAACAGGTCAAAGGGGAGGGGAGATTGCGGTGAATGATGAAAAGCACCAAATAAAAACTCTCGTGCTTTTTCTGTGAAAACAGGATTAAGAGTAGCTAAAGGGAGAGATTTAGCACAGTCATCTGGAAAAAAAGCAAGTGCAAAAAGACGGATTATCAGTATATATATGGGAATGATCACTGTCATTCCACAGCAGGGACACAGCAGAACGCCTTTCCATCTGGGACTTCATTCTGATTTCCTGTGAAAGGCTTTGTCGTTGTAATTACGGACTTTCTGAGAACAGCAACTGCTGTTTTAACCACAGGGGAAATGAGGAGGGAGAAAGTGGTTGAACGTAAGCTTGTGTGGAAGAACGCTTGAATATACAATATGTGTTTGCCCACCAGAGGGAAAGTGTGTAAGCCCAGCCCTGATTGATTCAGACGGCGTCACTTGGTGCGACTGAACATGCTGGTTTGTGATTGAGGGATTGCCTGCCAGGAGTACCTGTTTGTACTTGCCCTATCGTGTGTGTGTGTGTGTGTGTGTGTTTGTGTAGGGGTGCACGTAGAGGTTCATCTGTGGAGTGAAAACCTAACCCTCTTCGTACCCCGAGCCATGTCACCCCAGCCATCATCAACCATAATTCTAATTGACCCCCACTTACTCCAAATGGCCCCTAACCCTGACAATTTGAGCTCCAATTTCTCCTCCCTGAGCAATCTATCTCTCTCCCACAGCGTGACCTACTGGGCAGGCCTCAAGTTACCTCCTCTGTCACTGTCATACACCATTATTACTCGTCTTACCACCTGAAATATGAACACCCCTATGTCTCTCTGACAGCCACGTAAGAACCCAAGTGATAGCTCTTGATTTAGGAGATATGGCAACCTCCCACTCTACTCAGAGGTTAGGACTCGTTGTCAGATGGGGAGGATATTGCAACAGAGCTTTCAACACATTCTGCAGCGAGTCAAGCCTGTAAATATCAACAGGGAAAAAGAAAAATACAACCCTTGCCAGGGAAAAATTGTATCCAAACCCGGGTAGATGTGCAACTCATGAATACAGACATAAGAGAAGTTTACTGACATGTTTGCTGCAAGCACACGCACACACAAAACACTGTATCCACATGCTGACATGCAGGCAAGATAAAACAAGCAGTATTCAAAGATTAAATGTCCTAAACCTCAGAAACCCGCTCTTTCCTCTACTCCCCCCGCATTTACATTTAAAGCAGCTCTCTTCCCTACTAAGCGTGAACTATTTAACTGCCTCAATATCAGCCCAGAAAGATAAACAGATGGCATAACCTGGTGTAACTAATGCTGCTGTGTAGGTAGGCTACACAGATTGCGAAACGGATTAAATCTGGACAGCTTAAACAAAGAATTACAGGTAAACAACACCACGATAACAGGTTAGAGCTCAGAAAGAGGCGAAGAGGGAAGATACTCCTAACTGTCCCGCATTATCATGACAACAGCAGACAGTTGATTCTATCAGGCGCTCATCACAGGCATCTCGCTGAATATACATGAGCTGCAACTATTCAGCGTGCATCTGAATATAAGATAACGGCTTTGCCAACACTGCAAATGCGGTTAAAAGTGTGTTTGATGCCAAAAGTAAATCAGTTTGTAGAACCGATTAAGAAACAAGAGTGCGCAAAGACGATTCGAAGTGCGCTACATTAGCGCAAATGGAAAACATATTTACTTTGGGTTTGTGCTGTTCCAGTAGACACTGTGCCGCTCCGCTGAAGCAAACCAGGCGCAGACGCTCCCAACGAAGCCCACAATCCAAACCAAATCCATGGTGGAGAGGAGTGAAGGCGTGCAGAGACGGAACACAACTCAGGTAGGTTGTGCACAAAAAAAAAAAAAAACACCTAAAAGTTTACCGAAGGAAGCTTATCCGTGAACCTGTTAATTAAAAAACTTAACGCACGCAGCAGATCTGAGAGAGATTTCTGTATATTCGCAAAGGAATATAAAAAAAAAAATAAGTGAAGGGAGACTGAGATTACTCGACAAATCCGTAGTGAATGAGAGGTTGAGCTGAGTGGAGGTTGGTTTTGTGAAACGCCCACCTCCGCGTGTCACGCCTCCTATGGCGGAGGAGACCAATCAGAGGGCTGTCCGAGAGAAGCGAGCGGCACAGGTTTCTCTGCAAGTTTGCGTGCTTTATGTGTGTGTGTGTGTCATCACTCCGGCGTGTACAGGGTGTCTGGGTAAACACACAGAGGGTTTGCTGTGATTTATATGCCAGATTTTTTTAATCGTAACTTTATTATGCTTCAAGTGTAAATACATGTCATATGTTGCAGAATTTCGTGCGTCCACATTATCCTAATTAGGGCTGAACGATATATCGCATTTGCGATAATATCGCGACATGATCAAGTGCAATTTTCTAACCGCAAAGGCTGCGATTATACTCTGGACATGTCCAAATTCATGGGCTACATCCTCCTGAGGCCGCATTTGTAGACCGATTACGTCACAGCGACGCGCCGA